AAACAACTCTGTTCTTCTTTATGGAGAGGCCCTTCATGCTAACTTGGTACCGCAATTACATTACTCTGACATGCATTCACTGCTCAGACCAGAATGGTGGCAATGTGGAACAGGGGAAAGAGTGATGTGCCGACGTTAAGGAGGCAAAGTTTTCAGTCCCTTGTCCTCTCACCGCCTCCCGATGTGACCTTTCCCTTCCTTGGTCTCGGCTCCTTCCTCTACACCACAAAAAGGTTGGACTGATTACTCCTTTGGTCCCTTCTAGCTCCAAGTGGCTGAATCCATAATAATTTAAATTTACTGTAGATACATGGCAATCAACATCCACAGACATCTGTGGGTAACGGGAGATAATATTAATTTCTACTTCTCTTTCCTTTGATGGTGGTAGATAACAATTAAAACCTTCATGGCCATATATAGGATTTTTAGATACAAAAGGTCAGTGGGCTGCTCATTTCAGAAGAAACTTTCAAACTGTTAACCAAAAAAAAAATTCCTAACATGATCATCCTGGAATTATGGTGCTATGGGTTAAGGTCAAAATTGCCCAAAAAAAGTCAAAACATCAAATTCTTTTGATTTCTCTTTCTCCCCCCTCCACTGGTTAGGTGATACAATTTTTATCTCTTACTCGACAAGATGTAGAAAATAATTACAAATGAAAAGGTTATTCATAATTTTTAAATGAGTTAATTAGTAAACCCAGTCAGACTTGCTCATTATAGTAATTAATAATTGATTACACTTGAAATTAAACACAATTTTTCATCAAAAATCTAATTAAATATCTGAGTTTTTGCCTACTGATTAGATCAGTTGGTCTTGTGGAGAGTCTTTGTTAAGTATGTTTGTCTGAAGCTGAACTGATTAATATGATTTTTAATAATTGATGGTTCTTTCAGGAATGACTAATTACGGGCCATACTTATGACAGTTCAACTGGACAAGCCTTGCTGGCATCTCATCAGCTCTTGAAGACCCTTAGATCAAAATGTATAAACCTCTAGGTCAAAGAAGGAAGATAATACAACCTACTCTGACCATAACATCACAGAATTTAGAATGAGAACGGATGTAAGGAAGGGACGAGTACCAACAGAAGAGGAAATGTAAAGCCAGGGAGGAGACAGGACTTTCCCAACAATGTAAAGTGTGTAAACAGCAAAGTGAGAATGGTAGCTGGGTCCTCTGACTCAAGCTTTGGGATCAAAGAATCTCAGAGTTGGACAGGACCCCAGAGGCCGTCCAGTTAACCCATGCCCAAATAAGAAAGCTCACAACATCATCCCCCAGAAGTAGTCATGGGGCTTTTCCCTGAAGCTTTCTAGTGAGAGGGGACCCCTACTTATTTTACAATGGGACAGTTCTAACTGTTGGGAAGTTTTTCCTTATATCAAAGCCCATATCTGGCCCTTGGTAACTTCCAACCATTGTTCCTAATTTTGCCTCCTGAAGCTAAGAAAAACAAATCTGACCCCTCTTCCATATGAAAGCCTTTCGATTACTTGAAGACAGCTATCACGTATATGATATATGTAATATGTCATACATAGTATTATATTATGACATACAAGCACACAAGATTATATAAATGTAATAATATATATATTGTAGATATAATATGTATTATATGTTATATACCACATAAATATAGAAATATATAATGTTATGTATATATAATGTTATAATATGTAATATGTATATGTATATATGTATATATGTATGTGTGTGTACACACACACACACACACACACATATATATATATATATACATATATATATATATATATATATATATATATATATACATATATATATATATATATATATGTATATATATATATATATATATATGGTTTATCCCAAAGCTGATAGTTTCAGCTGACCTTTATATGGCATGTACTTGAGGCCTTTCCCCATCCAAGGAGTCTTCCTCTGGATCACTAGGAGTGAGATGGTACAAGGAATAGCGTGCTAGCTGTCAAGTCAGGAAGACCTGAGTTCAAATCCAGCTTCAGACACTAACTAGTTCTGTGACCCTGGGCAAGTTACTTAACTTCTGTCTATCTCAGTTTCCTCAACTGTAAAATGGGGATAACAATAGCCTCTACTGCCCAGGTTTGTTGTGAGGATCAAATGAGATAATATTAAAGTGCTTTGCAAACCTTAATGCCCAATATAAATGCTAGTTATTATTACTCTCCAGCTATCAATCACTTACTTCAAATGGGGCACCTAGAACACAATATAATACTGTCAATGTGGTATGAGCAGGGCAGAGTAGAGCAGGACTATCTCCTCCTTAGCCCTGCCAGGAAATGATGTTTCTGTCAATGGAGCCTTGAGGGTATGGACAATCTTTTGTCTCTTTTTGTATCCCTAGTGCTTAGTACAGTGCCTTAGTATAGAGTAGGTGCTTAATAAATGTTTGCTGACACTGCTGTCTCTCCCATTAGATTATGAGCTCCTGGAGGGATTGCCTTTTTTTGCCTTTCTTTGTGTCCCTAGAGGCATCTATCATATAGCAAGTGCTTAATAAACATTTACTGGCTAACACCTCCCATTTCTCCTCCTTTCCTGGTCTTAATGTAGTCAACCATCCTCTTGGTTAGCCTGAAGCCTCACTGACCTCACTCCCAGGGTAATTCTGTCCCAGCTTTCAGCACACACCTGCCATGTGGCATTCACTAAGCTAATACATACCCCCCCCAGTACCCCCTGTTTTTTGCTTCCACAGAGAAAACTCCCTCGATAAATTCAGTTCAGCAGCCATCCCGCATCTTAGAGCCTTAGTGTCCAGAGCTCTGAAAGCCCTGGTCACCTCTATGTCACAGAGCCAGCACCTGGACCAAGTTTCCCCTGACTCAGAAATCAGTTCTCCATCACTATTCCTTGATGCATGTCATTGAGCATACCACATCACAGATTCAAAAGGAACCAAAGTTGGCAGGATTCTTAGGGACCATCTACTTCAGCTCCTCGCCAGAGCCAGGAACCCCCTCTATAGCATTCCCAATAAGTAAGCATTCGATTTTCTGAAATATCCTTTACAGCCAAGGCTCCGTGGTCCACCAAGGGGTTTGTGGATAGACAAACTTTGGGGGAGGGGGTCTGAGAATTTACAACTTGTAATACTTTGGTAACTGTATTTCAAAGCCACGGTGTGGTCCTGTGTAATGAGATAATACATAGAGCACTTTGCAAACCTGAAGCATTATGTAAATGCTAACTATTATTATTAGGTATTTTATTTAAAACATTTAAATACATTATTCTGAGAAATCTTATACCAAAAAATAGCTAAGAACCTTTGCTTTGAGGGATTATAGTAGCAAAGATTTAGAATTAAGGGAGACTTCAGAAGTCCTTGAGTCCAAACCCCTTATCTGAAACTGAGGAAACTGAGGCTGAGAGAGGATGTCTTTTCCAGAGTCACACAGCTAGTAAGAATCTGTGGTAGGATTTTAATCTAGGTCTTCCTGACTTAAAAGTCCAATGCCTTATCCTCTACTGAAGAGGGACTTGTCTTCTATTTTTTTTTTGGCTGAGGCAATCGGGGTTAAGTGACTTGCCCAGGGTCATACAGCTAGTAAGTATCAAGTGTTTGGGGCTATATTTGAACTCAGGTCTTTCTGACTCTCAGGCCAGTCCTCTATCCCCTATACCACCTAGCTGCCCCAGGAGAGGGACTTGTTATCTCCAGAGACAGTGAATTCCTTTTTTGGACAATTCTACCCAACAGAAAGTTCTTCCTTATATCCAACTGAAACATGGAAATTTGTCTTATTAATATTATGGAACTTATTCACACCTTGGATGTGTTAAGGGAAAAACATCAGCATATGAAGAATTTCTGTAGCTGACTTTGGATTTTATTCACAGGCTGCTCTGGCAAGATATCAGAATCTACTTCAAACAAAGTCTCCCTGGAATGCATCCTTGCCACTGGTGGGTGACCCTGGGTTCCTGAAGGCTGTGCCAAGGGGACAGAAAACACTAGCATGTCCTACCGTACTTAGCAGTCTAGAGCACGTAGTAAGTGATTAACAAATGCTTTAGCCATCTACCAAGTTAGGAAGGTTTCCAGGATAGGCTACATCATGACTCCATGTCTGTTGTCTGAGAATTGGTTTTGCTACTTGCAAAGAAGTCTACCCACAGAGTGTTCCATGCCTGGTCATTTTTTTTTAGGGAAAACAACTCAATAAACCATTTCCTAAGGCATAAAGGAATTATGGCAAATGTGTTGGATACTACCAATTGGCATCCACGCCTATAAAAATCACAGATTCTTTAAGCTGAAGTATCAGGACCTAAGCTCTACACGTGGATTTTCTGTGTTCACTGAGGATGTTGAAGGAGGGGATGTCTTCTTTAGATAAGGGTTGGGTTAGATGCCCTCTGTGGTCCCTGCTAAGTCTGAGGTTCTTTGGTTCTACGGTGCAGGATGAAAGCTTCTTCCAGAAGATCCAGAAATAGTGGGTGGACCCCCCACGATAAAAAGGAGACCATGTGAAAAACATTTGGCATGGAAGTGATCATTGAATAGAATCCAGGCCTGGCAAGGCACTGGACCACTAGATGACACAGTTCTCTTTCTTGTTGCTGTGATGTGATGCTGTTTCCTAGTGCCTGAGTAGTCAATGCCAATCTAGGTTGGTGGTCCCAGTGACTGCTTCTTCCAGCCAGGCAGGCACTCAGATAAACACAATGCAGTTACATTTTCTTCTCTGCCACAAGACCATTTCCATCGGGATACTGGACAATGACAGGAGCTGTGATGTCTGCCATTATTTAATATTTTGAAGTTTGTGAGACCCATATCTCAGACAATCAGGGCCACCAGGCGGTCAGTGGTGTCTCGGTTATGGCCTCACGGGCTGTTTGAACGGTCAGGCTTCCTACAGGTGTGGTGAACTGAGTCAAAGAGAAACCACAGGAACACAGGAATGAAAAGAAAGTAAGGGTAAGGTCCAAAGTGGGTAAAGCATACTTACCGACAAAATACGCCAACAGGACCACCAGTGTGACCGAGATGATGATAGCGCTGAGCGCAGCACACTTCCAGTTACAGTACTTATAGGGCTTCTTAAGGTTAAAGGCAGGCCTGGAAAACGTGCTTCGTGGGAGGGGCCTAGGGGGAGGAGAGTACACCGTGCTGGACGTCAGCGGGTATCCTGGAGACGTGGTACAAAAGAGGGGCGATGTACCTCCCGGCTTAAACAGGAAGTGCCTGTGGGAAGAAAGGACAAGCCTTGTTGGTCACTCATGAAAAAGACACCAGACCCGGTCATTGGGTTTATACTTAAGGGAGAGAGAAGGTGAGTAAGGTGAAAGTGAGACCCACTGGGGCTGGGTAAAAAAAAAATAAAACAACAACAGACTGAGCCATGCAAAGAAAGTTCAACATTTAGTAGAACCAGAGAGACAACAGGAGAAGAGGTCAGTAAGGGTCACAATGTCACAAGTACTATAGACTACCACAAACATTTCAACACCAAGAGGCATCTCCATGGGGAAGTGGATCATACAGTGAGAGGCATACCCAAGGATAGACTGAGGGCTTTACCAACTGGACGGGGGCCGGGGCATAAAGAGCCCCAGATGTTTTGTGAGCTTGGGACAGGATGCCTCAGGGCACAAACTGCTCGACAAAGGTCACTGTGGCACCATCTAGGGATGTGTTCTAAGCACGGTTGTCTTTTATCCCCATGTAAAAGCAAGAGGCTAAAAGAGAAAGCAATTGATCTCCCCCTAGTACTGTCCACTTTCTTGGTGCTTCTTACACTGCAAAAAAGAGTCAGGCTTTTAAAATGGAACCCTATTCATGTGATCCATGTGGCACGGGAGATAAATATCCAAAGTCACCACCACGTTCAGCCACAGTGAAAAGTCACATGATGGCCAGAAACATGATGCTTAACATGCCAGGTCTTTGGAATTCCTACTCAAAACATTCTCTGCACCAGGGTTTCTTAACCTGGGGTCTGTGAACTCATTTTAAAAAAAATATTTTGATAACTTTATTTCCATAAAATTGGCTTTCTCTGTAATTCTGTGCATTTTAGGCATTTAAAAAGCTGATTCTGAGGAGGGGTCCTTAGGCTGCATCAGACTGTCAAAGGGTTCCATGAAACACACAAATCTCAAGGACCCCTGTTCTACACTTTCTGAGTCTGAGACTGCAAAGTGAGATTACACAAGAGTAGAAGTTGTTCGAGGTCACTGTTAAAACGGAAAATACCATATTAGTCCAAATATAGGTCAGCTGACCTAGGTATAATCTGAACCCCCAAAAACGAGCTTTAAAAAGAGAATATATATATTTATGTGTATAGACACAGAGTATCCCAAAAGTTCTATCTCCAATGAAAAATCATTATACAAAATTGCCATATAAAATATGTATTTGATCTGAATTTTTTTTTGTCTGGACCTGGAGTTCATCAGTGTAAGGAATTCCCTATACAGAAATTCTTCCACTGAAGCAGGTCAGCAACTTGTTTATAAATCAGCTACATAACACAGGGCACCAAGTTAAGTGACTCGCCCATAATCACACAGCTTTCATGTTGATTCGAACTCAGGTCTTCCTGACTCTAAAGCTGGTTCTTGGTACACTATGCTAAGTTGCCTCCCCATATTTATTATTAAAGGGTTAAGGGAAAAAAACCCAGTTCTTTCACTGAAAATAAAGACATCTAGTTTATTTGATCACATGACAAGGATGGAAAGGAACAGCAATGATAAAAAAGAATAAAATCAAGAGCACAACTGTAGACCACAATCAGGTTTGGCATAAGCCAGACAGGGGAGAAAGCGAGGCCTGCCTTCAGACTAATATGACAGCTCATGCATGGTATGCCTTCTGGTCGTTTAGCACAGAACCCAATCTCAGAAACAATTTTTAACTTAAAGGTTAAATGGTCAATATGTCAAAACATGATGGTTATCATCCAAATGGGTTATTAGATCAAGCAAAGGCCTAGCTTTAATGATAGGTATGACCAAGGTCACATGAGGACTTCCCTGTGATCTGTGAAATACGATGACCTCGAATGAATACAAACTCAACATCTGTTAAAAAGCAAAGCTTGGAGCAACCCAAGTCCTCTGCGGAGGCAAGAAGCCCAAATCTTCACTGAACTGCACTTGTGGGTTATAGCATCTTCACCCTCCTCTTAATGAAATGGTTCTCAAAAGGGCAATGAAAGCCAATGAGATGCCATGAATTAGCATATTAATGAGGCAGGCATTAATACATACAGGATGCTATGTTCCTTTGAGAGACTCTCCAAGCTGGATAGGGGCAGACCTGGGACCAGGACCAAACTTCCCAGACTCCTAATTCAGGACCCTTTCTGCTGATATTACAGTTGCCCCAAAGGGTTTATAAGCTCTTGGTCTCCTAAAACTGCCTAAGGGTTGGTAGGGCCAATGGGATCACCCTTAAGAATGCACTAAGACCATTGAAGGCTTTCATGCAGGGAAGGAAAGCAAGGGCACATCAAAGAGGAAGGGCACAGGAGTGTCACATACCCATCATTGTAAGCACCATCATGGCGGGAGGAGGTGAGAATGTCCATCTCAATGAGGTTGTCCTGCAAAGTCTCTAGGAATGTCTGCTTCGCTATGTTTCTACATACATATGGAAACATGAATGAAGCCAGTGAGTCATGCATCTATGAAGTGTGGTTTCAAACAAACAGAAAACAAAACAAAACAAAAACCAAGTGGCTAACGTGTGGCTGCAGCTGGGCATGGAATTAGAATGAGGGCTTTGTGCAAATGCTCATATGTATAGGCTGCTGCTATACATATACATACATACATACACATTGTAATACTTCAATGATCTAGCATTTCATCGGGGCAGTTACTCCCTCCACTGACATAGATCATAGCCCCTCCACCCCTTAGTAGAAAGTTTCATTAAATGGTAGTGGCCAAAAAATTTATCTAGTGGTGGCTAACTTTTTGGTGATGGGTCTTAGCAAAATTATTTAAGCAGGTCTTCAGATAGGAGTCTTCAGACTCATAGTCCCAAGTTGGTCCAGTCCAAAGCTTGAAATCTTTCTCGCTTCGGAATGATTATACACACCAAGAAGTAGCATGGCATGGACAAAAGAGCTTTGGATTCAGAGTCAGGAGACCAGAGTTCTAATTCTGCCTCTAACTCTTAATAGTTACAGGACACTGCTCCATCTCTTGACCTCTCTAGCCCCGAGTTTCTTCATTCTATAACCTGGGCAATCTATCTCACAATCTTCAAGTAAACAACGATAAACGATGATCTTCAATCACTGGCCAGAATGACCATTTTGGAGGAACGCTATAGACAGTTATTCTGTTCAGGCACAGGTTGGAGGAGACAGCCTTTGAGGAACCCTCTGACTTTTAAGTTCCTGTGCTTGAAACCAGGTCTTACGAGTCTAAATTCATTGATCTTTGTATGACACCATGCCATCTATCAATGGGGAAGCTGAGCAGGCAGCCAACAAAACTTCATTTTTGTCCTATCGGCCTGCAATCTGACCCTTTGGACACCGTTCTTTGCCCTTCACAAAACCACAGAATCACAGAATAAAGAGTATAGCTGGAAGGGGCCTGAGAACTCATCTACTCATGAGGAATCTAAGGCTCACAGAAATAAAGTGAGCTGCCCAGTGCCGTCCAGTTAATCCAGTGGGACTTCCACAACATTGTTCTCTAAGGTTGACCGCTGCCCCCTCCACACCCCAAGCCTCTCTTGAACCCAGACTTATTTCAAAGCCTTAACTTGCAGGGTTTTATGAGTCTGAGGCTGCCACTTTATCCTCAAATCAGGAGAGTGATTCCAATTCATCACTCTGTAGTCAAAGAAAGCCAAGTATGTAGACTGAGCCAAGGCACCCCAAGGATTGTACATGATCTATCTTCACATGCTGCAAACTTGTACTATGGTGTCAAGTGATAATGATAAGAAGAAGAATAGCCAGCGTTTATATAATGCTTGAAGGTTTGCAAAACGCTTTATATTTACGGGTATTCTTTTATTTGATCCCCACAACAACCCTGAAAGGTAGGTAGTATTAGTACTCCAGTTTTACAGATTAGAAAACTGAGGCAGAGAGGGGTTATTGCCTAGTATTTAATAGAAAAGGAATTTGAACTCAGGTCTTCCGACCCCAAATCCTGTGGTGCCTCTGGCTGAAGATTTGAGTGATTTTTTAAATGGTGTAGCAGAATGTATGATAAATCCATAAATCTCACCGTTTTAAAAAATGAGCGTGAATTTGACTGGATTATGATTCCACGAATTTCAGGAGCAGGCTGTCAAGGTTACTGAAATTGTAAGCTCTTAGTGAGCAAGGCCCTTGATCTTGGTTACAAGCGTGCTTTCTCTTACTAGCTGTGTGACTCTGGGCAAGTCACTTAATACAGACTGCCTCTCCAAAAACAAACAAATAAACAAACAAACAAACAAAAAACAAGACTGCTACAAGACACAGCACAGTGTATTTCAAAGCCCAGGATGTCATATCAGAGGGCCAATTTTCAAGTTCCAGCTATGCTGCTAAATGTTTTGTCAAGCTTGAGGCAAAATGCTTTAAATTCTCCAAGCCTCAGTATCCTCATCTGTAAAATGGGCATAATAATTCTTGACTATCTACTTCGTAGAACCACAGTCAAAGAACTGCTTATGTGAACCCTGAAATGACACGGTAACGTGAGCTACCATTCTTATCATTACAATATCAACACATTTCCCCATCTTTGAAATTACAGCAGTAATGCCAGCATTCACTCACTCTCCCTCCCTCTCTCTCTCCTAGGAGCAAAACGTTTTGAAAACTGAGACGCTGTGTACAAAGGGGAGCTTATCAATGTTTTCATCAATACCGCATGCAAACACTTCCATTTCCTCCCTGGGGGGATCCGTGCCCACAGTCTGGATGCCAGACAAGGTCCCCTAAGAATATCTGGGCACTTAACCTACATCACCAGTCTGGGACCTGGCTCTTGGGGATTTTAAATGGCACCTTAAAATCCTATCAGGATACGACTTCCTCAAAAGTGCTAGGCATTCGAGACAACCTCAAGGTAATACCATGCAAAAACAAAGTAATTGTGTAGTGATCTATTTCAAGAATTATGTGATTGTCCGAGGGGATCTAAGCTAGGCTGAATGAAGCATGTGGTGCGTGCTGTTCTAAAATAGCCACTCTCTTCATTCCAGGGCCCCTGTGATATTTAACACTAGCTGAAAATGCTGGGGATTCATAAGGGTTTCACTGTCCCTTCTCCACCCCCAATGTTACCAAAGTCCTGCTCTGATGTCTTACTACGGAGTGCGTTAGGGTTTGGGTTAGGGTTAGGGTTAAGGTTAGGAAAGGAAGCGGAGCTCCTGCCAGGGAAGCAGAAGCTTAGGCAGGCCCCATGAAACCAGAAAAGCTTTGAGCGCTGGCCAGGTGACAGACCACGAATCTACTGTCCAAGGCCTTGTCTGGCAAACTTCAGAGAGGCCCATTAGCTGAGGGCTTCCCACCAGAGGCCAAACTTCTGGCCAAGGCAATGCATGGAACACATCTACAAAAGCATGGGATATAAGGATCTGCCTTCTGGTTGGGAGGGCTGACACCTGCAAAATCAGGGATGTTTTAAGTCATTGAAATAAGCCTTACTGAAATATTCTGATATTCTAAACACTTGGTATTACCTGAGTTCAAGTTATTTAATCATTTAGAGAATTTCACCTCTTAAATCAGAAACACTACATTAATTATGAAATTTTGTGGTCTCGATTTTTAGCTGTGTGCCCTTAAGGCAAGCCATATCCCCTCTGACTCTCCATCTCTTCATCTGTATGGGGTTGGACAACAAGATCTCTAAGGTAACTGCCAGCCCCAACATTCTCAGGTTCTATGAGCAAGGGAGAATTTTTCTTTTCTACTCTATTTTATTCCAGTCTATCCTCTTATTAATTCTTGTAAAAACTGGCCAGATGTTCAGAAGACAGTCTCCACAGCTGCTGACAATAGAAACACTTCAGTATTCTACTTTCCTAGAAAGGTGCTAGAAAGTGAGTGTAGTGGGCTTAGAGTCACAAGACCTAGGCTAGAGTCTTGGCTTCAATACTTTCTGGTTGAATGTCCTTGAATAAGTCACTCCCTTTTAGAGCCTCATCTGTAAAATGGGAATGATAGCAGCTAGTCAGAATTAAAGTTGAAATTCAAAACTAGGTTTTCTGATGCCAGGACCACTGCTTTTCCCATTACTACTACTCCAATGAGGCAAATACCTCCTGGTACTAGTCTTGTTCTCTGCTCTTAATAGAAAAACAGTGTAGTATAAACCAAATAAAATCATACTCTATATTTGTTTAATTATTTGCAAAGACAAATAAAATAAAAATTAGGATCTCAATAAATATCAAAAATACATAAAGAGGGCTATCTATCTAAACAACATATGCACGTATATGTGTGTGTGTATAAAGACACAGACATACAAACAAACCCTTTATGCAACTGTAATAGTAATAGTAATAACAGCTTGTAATAGCTAGTAATTAAAGCTAACATTCAGTCTCTAAATTTTGCCCAGAAATAAATTATACTATTTTTTTTCTTGATTTTATTATAGCTCCAAAATTGTACAATGCTACACCTCAAATGACATAAAGGCATTTTATGCAAAGATATTCTGTAAGGGAAAGGCAAAAATTGATAGTGATGACTATTAAGGCAAGTAAAAAGCTTTCATGGAAGATTTAGAGTGGACAAGTGGGTTTGACCCTCTCTCTGGTTTAGGTTCTCATTGGGCTACTTGCCTGAGAAGCAGGACAATATGGCAGGTGGAATGCTGGGCCTGGAGTCAGGAGATCCAGGATTAAATTCTTGCCTCAGTTATTTAGAAACTATGGGATCCCGGACTGGTCAGTTGATCTCTCTAAACCTCACTTGTCAAACACAGGCAAAACAAACAACACAAAAATAACAACCCTGCACTGCCTCCCTCCTTGGCTTTTTGTGAAAAAACTTTAAAGCACTATAGAAATTGGAGTTTGTGAGGAACTAGAATTCAGTGACGGACGGGGAGAACCCTGTGGGTCTCAATTCTCTCCTCTTTGAAGTGGGGGTAGCAATACCAGCACTATTTACTTCACAGGTTCATGGCAAGAGAAAAGCTCTTGGTCTAAGGGGAGACACTGTAGAAAAGTGAGCTACTGTGAGTGTTTGCAGGCCTGATGTGGTCTGAGAGCTGCAGCCTGAGTGCGGAAAGGCTGGGCCTGGGAAACAATCACCTGGATGGCCAGCTGTTTGGGAGGAGGCTGGGCCACCCTCAATTCAAGCTCTCGTCACAGAGGAAATCTGGCCATAAAGCCGCCTCTCAAATTCCCAAACCAGGTCTGCTAACCCGCACTCTGGAGCTGACGCATTGGGGGCGCTTCTCTCCTGAGCTTTTTTATGTTTTTTTATTTTTGGTTTCTAATTCATCAGACGACATTCCTGACAGGTTATTAATCACATGGTCCCAGTGAAATCAATTAAGCTGCACATGCTGAGAAGTGTGAACGGAGAGGCCTCGCCCAGCGTCTGACTTTGCTGGATCCTAGGAACGCAGCTCGTACCCAAATTGGGCACAGACACACCTGA